CGCTCCCGCCACCGTGAAGTCTCTCCCAGGCACACAGGCCCTGGGCTTGCTGTGCGACCTCAGGCGGATAAACCCATCTCTCTGGCCTGTTCTTCTTTCCCAAGAGGAAATGGTAGCACCTTTTCCTCTCCTTATCTGGGTGGTTGGAAGATTGAGGGAACCGTGTCAAATGTGCAAATAGAGATGGGCGTGGGAAGTTATGATTTTTGTCTGTGCTCCACCCTTCTTTTCTGGCCTCTCCAGGCGTGCATTTAAGCTTCTCCGTCCTGAGCCCTGTCCTCAGGGGCACCCTGAGGTAAGGCGCAGTGTGGGCAGGGCCACGGCAGGTGGGATGTGTAGGGTGCAGGGAGCCGTGCAGTCAGCAGAGCGTCATTCTCAGCAGGCGTGGGCTGCTTGCCCCAAAGCCACTGGGGACAGCAACTCAAACGCTGGCCAGTGGAGCTGCCCAGTAGGAATCAGGGCCCAGTGATGCCAGGCCTTCCAATTTTTTTGTGGAGGGGAAAACATAAATCCAGACTTGGATGTGAATTCTCCCAGTTCTTAGGCCTTGGTGGTTATCCTAAACATGTTTTTAAGGCCTGGGCAGAGTAACCAAGAGTGTTTTCGGGCAGACATAACCTCAGGCTGCCCTCTGCCACCTCTGCCACAGGAGGGTGTGCCTGGGGCAAGTGGCCACAGAGCTCAGGTTGGGGTGTCTTGGGGACGACCCCAGGTGCTCTGAAAGAGAGAGCAGGTGAGCACCGTCAGGGCCCTGAGGTCTTGTGTAGGTGATGGACTTAAAGACCCCTCAGGCTGGGTAGGCCAGTGGCCACAGGCAGGGTCAGACCATCCAGGAAGAGATGATGCCACTTTCGCATATGCTCTTCCACTTGGACAAATCTATCTAGTTTGGTCAATTTACCAGATTAGGTGTTTTAATTAAATCCTGATGGGCCAGGTGCACAAGCAGCTGGTGTGCCATCTGATGCAGTGACTTGCAAGTGTCGAAATGCTTCCTACTGGGACAGAACTTGTGCATTCAGGGCACCCCTGCCGCTTCCCAAGCCTGTCCCAGGCTCCAGCACCAGTGCGTCTGCACCTGGCACACAGGCCCCGCGCTATCTCCGATGGCTCAGCACTGTGGCTCTCACTCCTCAGAGCCCAAGGCTGAGGCCCCTGGATAGGGCAGGGCACGAGTCCTTACCCACAATCATGCCAACCTCACACTGGCGGTCTTCGTAGTAGCAGGAGATCATCGTGGCCACAGTGTCATTCACCATTGCCACCACGTCCATCTCAAAGTCCTGCCAAGAGGCACAGATGTGGCAGTGATGAGGTCAGTGGTCTCAGTTCAGCCTGCCCTGGGCCAGTCCAGCCCAACGAGGGAGGCCAAGACCCCTTCCTGAGGGGACACTCAGAATGCCCTCCCTGGCATCCTGGCTTGGGGGGGAGGGGCCAGCACAGCGAGGGTGCAGGGGCCTCCTCACCCCTCTCCGCTTGATGGCATCTCGCAGCAGCCCCACGATGTTGTTCCCCTCTGCTCCCGAGGCCTTGAAACCCTTGGTCCAGTTGAGCAGGATGCCCTGGAGGGAGAGGACCTCAGAGGCTGCTGACTAGGGTAGGGGCGGGGGTGAAGGGGTGCGGAGCTACTCAGACCACACACCCCATTTTGTGGGTGAGCAGACTGAGGGTCATGTAGTTTTGAGAGGTGCTGGAGACAATTCTCCACAACTATTCATATTCCTGCAGAGCTGGGTCCCAGCAATATAAGGATGTTTGTCTAGTAAAGCCCAGAGATGTCACCCCAGAGTAAGGATGGGGTCTGGAGGGGAGCAGCCCCGTTTGAGATGAGGGTTCCCCTCCTGTAGTGGGCCCACTGCAGAGGAAGGAACCAACTGACACTCAGTGTGCTGTGGGGTCTGGGGCTGGGAAAACCAGCGTGAGAGATCACTCCTGCTGCTGTGCCGTGAGGCCTCGTGTCACAGGTGCATGTGTATTTCGCGTGTGCAAAGATAGGTGAAGTTAAGGTGTGTATACAACTGATGTGGGTATATGTGTATGTATAATTGACGTGTTTGTGTGTCACTGTGCCAGGCTGGTGTGCCAGCTCGAAGGCAGACCATGGCCTCAGCCCTCCCACAACTCAGCCCCCGGCACAGGCGGTCCAGCAGGGTGATGACACTCCAGTGTGCCGATGAGCCCTCTTGCCTGGGTCTGAGCCCTGGGGCTGCCACTTCCCACCTGGGCTACTCGCTAACCCTCGGTTTCCAGATCTGTAATGGGGTGCGAACAGTTCAGTGTTGGGGGAGGTTAAGGTAAATAGTGAGAACCGGTGTCACAGAACATGGGTGATGGGCACAGTTTGAATTGAAGGCTCTTTCCCAACAAGGGAACTGCATTTGAAGACAGCACTGGGTGCCTTTGTTTGGGGCACGTGTCCATCTGCCTGTCCATCTGGTCAGTCTGGCCAGCCTCCCTGGGCCTCACCTTGTCGATGTCTTCGTGCCTCACGGGAAAGGAGAAGGTGAAGCCCAAGGGCAGCTTCTTGTGCTTCATCTGATGCTTGTCCAGGAAGTCGGAGATGCACTCAGAGACGTAGTCGAAGAGCTGGGAGAGCCACGGCCACAGCTGGTGGGTGGCCGCAGCCCCCTCCCCCCCAGAGCCCAGTGAGGAGCCATCAGCCCCTGAGAAATGCCAGCTACAGGCCTGCACACAGCTCCTCACTCGGGCCCTGAGCTGCCCCCAGGTCCTGCTGATGCCCCGCCCCCGGGGGCTTCCTGACAGCTGTGCTGTCATAGGACATCAGGGGTCAGGCCCTGGACAGAGCCCCCTCCTTGGCTATAACTATGACTTCTGTCTCCAGCACCCAGAATGTCCTCTGTTGTGTCCAAGTGTCCTGGCCACAAACCCCTGCTGCTGCTGAGGACCAGCCCCCACCCAGGTGGGCAGGTGGGCCCCCTCCAGGACTAGCAGAGCCTGAGGCCCACTCACCATCTCAGCAGTGCCTGTCATGGCGTCCTCCGGGATGCAGTACATCTGGTGCTTGGTCTTCACGCTCCACTGGCCTGCCTCCCCCTCCCCCACCTTCACCAGCATCACCCTGAAGTTGGTGCCGCCCAGGTCCAGGGAGAGGAAGTCCCCGACTTCTGCAGCCACAGGGAGAAGCCTGTCAGCCTCAGGGGCAGTGACCGCAGGGAAAGGAGGAGGGAAGGCCCAGGGGAGATGGACAAGGGGCTACAATGCCAAGATTCTGGGGACACCACTTTCAATGGTGGAAGGGGTCAAAGGCGAACTGGGAAGTCCATGGGAACCCCGACTTGAACTGAAGTCACCCCAAGCCCAGGGCTCAACTGAAAAACTAGTGAAATGGCCCCAACTCAGGACTAAGGGAGGGGGAGGGGGGCAAGTGACCACAGGAGCAACTTTCTCAATGTGAGATGAAAAAAGCCAGGTTCCCACGGTCAGAGTGAGCCTGAAGGCACCAGGGTGGGAGCCAGATGAGAATTGGCCTGTCTGGGGCCCAGCCACTGGGGACTGGTCTCCAGGCTGCTGGGGACAGAGCCCTTGGAAGGGCCTGGGGACAGCTGCCCCATCCTGGCCCTGGGCAGTACCTGAGCCTTCGGGGGTGGAGCGCACATAGGTGGGGAGCATCTTCACACTGGCCTCCTTGTGAGTCTCCAGCCTCAGGCCTCGGTCCATCTCCTTCTGCATCCGTCTCATCACCTTCTGCAAGTCCTCCTCCTGCAGCCGGAACTCGGCCAGGATCTGCTCCGCCTGCGCAGGGCCAGGGGCACGGCTGGGTGGGCAAGGGGCTGCACCGCACCCATTCTTGAAATCAGCACAGTTAAGACCAGCTGAGCAGTTAGAGCAAGAGTTTCAAGACCAGCCTCACGGAGGCTCCTGAGGGTCGGGGGCGAGGGCAGAGGGCAGATGTGGGAGGCGAGGGGAGAGGGAACTAAGCAGGAGGGTGGGTGAGACACCAACGGGCCAGGGCATCTGCCTGCAGCTTCAGGAGAACCTCCGGAGGTGCTCTCCTGGCCTCCTGACCCACAGAATATGCACATGGGAGGAGACACAGCTGAATGATTGTAGGGATGATCGTTGTGGAAACAGGAGTGATTTTATTTTCCTTTTTGCTTATCTGTCTCCTACATACTCTGCAATGAATATGTATTGATGGAGTACTATCTAAAAGTCAAGTTAAAAACACAAAAGTTTGGGCCTTAGCTGGTATTTTTGTGCATAGGCTCCTGAGCCCAGACTCTGAAGGATGGAAGGTCAGAGTTAAATGGGTCAAATCACCAGGCCCCATGTTCCAGTGAGAAAGAAAGTGGGCCTGGGGCTGGGGTGAGAGGGCCAGTCCCTCCCCCAAGGGCCTGTGGCCCTCAGCACCAGCCAGGCCCCAGGGTGGGCACTCCCCACGCCGACACAGCGGCCTGGGGGCCAGCACTGTGGTGCAGGTGTTTGCCGTGCCCTCATGTAAGCCTGGTGGGGAGGGTGCCAGGCAGTGTGACCAGAGGCCAGGAGAAGCTGAGGGGGAGTCAGCAGAGCACTGAGGTCAGGGTAACCCTGGCAGTGAGGTGTCCGTGGAATGTGAGCAGAAATGGTGCATAACACTTCCAGGTCCAGGCTTTCTATAAGGGAGTTGCTCTTCTGGGTCGTTCTGATCTTTCTGTGGGCTACACACAGGTGGCAATGAGGCCACAGGAGGTGGGGAAGCCATGAGACCTGAGAGGCCTGGGTTCCCAGGTTACTGTGTGCAGGATACCCCCAGCCTGCTCACACCTGCTGGGCTAGCAGGTGAGTAGGAAGTACAGTTGCACTCTGCAGACCCACCTGCCATTCTAGTGAACTGGTTACAGCCATTAAGTGTGTCCTAATTAATACTGGAACTGTGACATCAATAACTAAAGGTAGAGGTTAGCAGGTTAGTGCGGGGTGTGGGTCACTCCTTGATGTCATGTTTAGTCCCTGATTTGCGCTTGCCTGAGGGTACGAAAGTGACCAGGTTTTCATTCCCAAGGAGCTTACGGTCCTGCAGAGGAGACAGCAGGTAGCTGTACAGATGGACACTGGATGCTCAAGTCCTTGGGAACTCAGAGGAGGCCTGTGGAGTTTCCAGAGGCCGAGGACAGGGTTTCTCAAGACTCCTTCCTGCTGCCCTTGCTGTGTGAGGAGGTGGCCAGGGTGAGAGGGACATTCCAGAAGAGGGGACAGCAGGACAGGGTCATTTGCAGAAACACCGGGATTTAGAGTGGCCTGAATCTGACACACGCAGAGGGATCGCCCCGCAGGGCAGTTGTGAGTGGCATTTGGACTGAACAGGACACCTGAGCTGGAGTGCAGGCCTCCGCAGGAGAGCGGCTGTGCCAGCACCAAGCACACAGTGAGGCTCACAGCCAGAGCAGGACTCGGGGACATGCGCGCTCGTCGGGGGCGCACAAAGGATAATGGACACTGAGGTGCAAAGAGGTCCTCCCAAGTGCTAGAAACCCCAGCACACAAGAGGTAAAGTAAACCTGAGGAAAATTAGAATAAAAGAATCAAGAATGATAAAAGTAGAAACAAGTTACACAGAAAACAACAGTGAACTCGATGAGCAAACATCAAATGCAGTTCTTTAAAAAGACCATGAAAGAGCAGAACGGGGCAGACTGGTCGAGAGGGAAGGAGACAGCAACGAACACCTTCAGGGCACAGCCGCGGGTAAAGCGTGGGAGGTTTGTGGAGTTACATGTAACACTTGCTTCCGTACGTTTAAAAAATTTAGAGACAACGCAAGATTTTTAAAATGACATAAGTTATCAAAATGGACTCGGGAAGACAGAAAAATCTGATTAGATGGATACAAATTTAAAAAATGTTAATAGATGTCAAAAACCTTCCTCTAACAAAAATAACCAGGTTTAGCTAATTTAAAAACACAAAAACTACAGATATGAAAATGTCCAAAGCAAGGCCTGGCTCACGACAAGTCTTAATAAGTGCTTGGCTAATGAGACAAGAAGTACACGACCAGCTTGCAGGCAGGAACCGCATGAGTGACGCAGCCACAGCCAGGCTGGTGACGCAGAGGGAAAGGAGGAAGGGGGTTCGTTCCCACCCCTGGACAGAGCCCTGCGGGTGAAACGCCTGTGTCCGGAGTTAGGAAGCACTCTCCCGGCCGGGCTGTGCTGCAGGGAGGGGTGGGAAGCCCAGCCCAGCCCTCTCGTGGCTCTGGTAGCACAGGTTTCCGGGATCGGTTTCTGTCTGCTTGGCATTCCCGGAGTGGGTTCTGTTTCTCCCTAAGCCTAAGCCCACTGTCCTGAGCTACCACCTTCTCACAACTCAGTCCTGACGACAGTGCCCAGTCATTCTGTTTCCATGCTTGACCCCTGCAATCTCTTCTTCCCTTAGCACCCAGAGTGACCTCTGAAAAGCAAAAATTGAATAATGTAACTCTGATCAAATACCTCTTGGGGTTAGGGTTAGGAGGCCAGGAGGCAGGAGGCAGGAGGCCAGGGGATTAGACCAGGGGACCAGGAGAACAAAGATGCTGGCCGCTGAGGTAGGCACTGTCCCACCTAGGCTCCCCGTTTTCTTTCCTGTGGCCCCCCAAGCCTGCTCCCACACTGAGAGCTGGGTGAGGAGGACATGGAGGGTGTATCCAGGTAGGGCACCAACGGCAGCCAAGGCCAGGAAGCTGGCAGAGTGCAGTAAAGGGCACTGGATCTGGGGTGGCCAGTGTGTGGCAGCAGATGCCAAGTTTCTCCAAACCTCCAGAGCGTGAGCCTCATGGACTCAGAGGCCATTTGCAAAGCTCGGTGTCCTGGGGTGGGGGGCTAGGGGCTCACAGGGCTCCTTGTATGTGGTCTCCCTGCCAATACTCTTCCATCCTGAGGTTCCAGTGGTGGCTTATGAGCACCTGACACTCTGCTGTGAGCCTGAGCTGGGCTTGGCCTAGGGGATTCCAGGCACGGAGGAGGCCGGATCACGGGAGGGGAGGGGCCGGCACTTCCGAAGTGCTGGGCGCCTGCCGGAGTGTTCAGTGAGCTTCCTCCTGGGCAGAATCTCAGGCTTGGTTATTGGAAAACATAGCTCTGCCCCTGATACTTCACTGTGTGATTAAAGTGTCTAAGTAATTAACAGGTGATGCGTCAACCAGAAGTTGAGTATGAGATTGTGTGTGTGTGTGGTCAGGGAAACGCCCCCCACTTCTTTGTAACCAACTGAAATCTCCACCCTCTCATTCGGGGGCCTTTGGGGGCCTATTTTCTTTCAATCCTCACCCAAGGATGTTCCCCCCATTGCTTTTCAGAGAGCTCGGGAGGGAGAGAGAGAGGAACATGGGTGTGAGAGAGGCATGGATCGGTGGCTTCCTGTATGCACCCCAACTGGGGATCGAATCCACAACCAGATAAGTGCACTGACAGGGAATCGAACCCGCAGCCTTTTGGGGCACAGGACGACATTCCCAACTGGGCTGGGAGCTATTTTAACAGCAGCTATCACTTATCTTCACTGACTTTTCTTACAACTATGCGTTCGTGTTTCTCATTAAAGCCTTGCCTCACTCTACTCTGGGCCCAGATCAAGGTGTCAGTGACCCACGCCCTCCGCAGCTCACCCGGCTCCCGAACTGGAACCAGCATCCCCTCGCCTCTCTCTGCCCTGAGGAGCCCCGTGTCCCCTGGGACAAACAGGAAGGGACATGGGTCAGCTCGAGTCTGGGGATAGGTGCTCAGCACCAGTTCCCTGGGGCAGCCACAGGCCTCACGCTCTCGCCAAGCCACCTCTCCGCTAGTGCAGAGACACCTCCTCGCTTCTCCTCAGGTGGCCGCCCGTGGCCCCTCCCTGGAAGGTGGGGGACTCGCCCGCCTTGCTGCCTGTGCTGCGGGTGCCCTGACCTGGCTGCTTGTTTTTCTCCTGACATCATCAGCTCTGCCAGGAACAGGACCGGCTGCTGTTTGTGCTGACCGTGTCATTTCCCAGAAGCAGAGAAGACCAGTGAGGGCAGAATTATACCGAAGGGAGGACAGGGCCTCTCCCTGGGTCCCCACTGCACCTGGGCCTGGGCCCCTCTCCTTGGGCCTCCTCTCTCTCCTTGCCCACTACATGGGCACAGGGCTGGCTCAGGGGATGTCTGGATTTCTCTCTGTTTTGGAAAAAGTAACTGATCTCTGCTTCTCACAAGGAGATAACGGCTCTCAGGCTCCTCATGAAGAGAGCCCTTCGAGGAAGTGTGGGCACCTGAGACCTCTCATCATGTCTGTTGAGTGTTTTCTCATGGCTGGGCTGTCCGTTCTGCCACTATGACCCCAGGCTCTAAACTCCCCAGACCCTCTAACCAACACAAGTCATTTCTGGACCTCCTGGCTGCCTAACTTCCAGGTCACGGGGCTGGAATCTGAAGCAGGGAGGGGACTGGGTCTGCTGGTACCCACGACTCACTCCCTAGCAGGTCTTCCCTAAAGCACCTGTGCATAAAGCAGGTTCTGAGCAGCAGGCGCATGTCGTGCTAAACAAACCATTGGATGTGGGGACATAGGACAGAGGCTTCTAGAACCAAAGGAGGCAGAGCTACCTTTTCCTTCTTGGCATTCTCCATCCTGGCACTGTCATCCGGCATTGGCACCACAGCCCGCTGGTGGGAGCTGGGACCCCTTGGCGTTCCCCAACAGGTTTCTGAAGCAGGAATATCCCAAGGCTTCTCCCCCAAGGGTCACACCGGCCCTGGGTGTCTGGGAAAATAGGGTCCACCTTCGGCTGGTTTCTGGCTGGAGCTTCAGTCAGAGTTTCCTCCTTTCCATTGTTCTCTGCAAGCCCTCGAGCCTTGTCTTTGGGGCCACAGCCGGGACCCTTCCACACAGAGTCCTGGTCAGGCCAGGGCCATCGCTGGGCTGCGGGGCTGGTCAGCTTTCGCTCCAGGCTGTGCTGAGCTGTGCAGCGTAGTGGCCTCTAGACAGACTCAGCAGAAAAGCTCCTGTCCCTTCCTGTGGCTGGGGACAGCATTTGAGTAATTAGGCTGAAGGTGACTGTTTCTCTCACACCCTAACTTGCTTCCCGGAGCTCAGCCACCACCTAACAATTCCCGCTGCAACCAGCTGTGCAGTGACCAGGTGTGCGGTGGGGAATTCTGCTGGGGCCTCCTGTGGCTGAGAGGCCTGTGCTACCATGGCAACCAGGAGCAGGGCCTCCTTGCTAGCGCCCTCCGGCCTCAGCAGGCCTGGCTGCCTGTCATTAGAGCTACCATGCAGAAAACTGGGGCTGAAGGCAAAGGCCTCCATCCCCATCACCATAGCAACAACCCAATGGCCTTGTCACAGAAGACTTTGCCACCTGTCCACTTCCCAGGGCAGGGTCACAGGGACTTCCAAACTCACACCCTAAAGAGCAGAGGCCTCTGAGAGTCTGGGAACTGGAGGAGAGGGAGTAGGCAATGTGGCCACCCGCATTGCCACACATGTCGAAAGCGCCCAAAAGCTCTGTAGCTGCCCTCTTGACTAATGTCCTAGCCTAAGCCAGAATAGCGGGCCCAGCTAGGCAGAGCCCCACAGACCGGGCCTTAGCTTGGGAGCCACACACTCCACCCACACTGCAGTGGGCAGACCCTGGGAGAGGAGCAGGGGGCCAGGTGCTGGAGATGACTCTGATGCTGCTCAGGGGTTCATTCACGGCTGGAGCAAAATGGGACCCAGAAACAGTCTCCCCCAAGTTTCTAGCCTGATCAGAGCTGGTGTGTTTGTGATACTCAGCGCCTCTCAATCTGGACAACGGTGCCACACAGAGCAGAAGGCTGAAGACACCCAGAGGTCCAGCCCAGGGCATGAGGAGGAGTGGCCAGGGAGACCGGCCTCCCTTGGGCAGGCAGGCAACTGCACTTTCAGTTTCCCAGTTACAAAGCTGTTTCCCTGAGTCACAGGTGCCACTCCTTCTGGATGGTTCCCATAGCTGAACCACTGGACAGCGCTTCTCCGGCCCTCACTCGGCCACGCCAGTTTACTAACCTTTCCACCGACATTAGGCTCCATCCCGGACAATCCTCCAGATGATAAATCTATCATTTTCTGCTGATCTGTCGTCTCATTGTCATTTTAATTGCAAAGTGCTGGACACCTTTTCATATGCTTAGTGGTTATTTGTATTTCCCCCCCCAAAGATGATTTGTGTACGTTACTTAACTATTTTGTTACTGAATTATCTTCTATCATTCTATTTGTATAAGCTACTTTTATATTCTGTCTACAATATCTATTAATCCTATGTTTAATATGCTATAATAATGCCCAGTCTATTGCTAAACTTAGGACTTGATTGGTGGTGTCTATCATCACACAAGTGTTTCCTTTTTATCAATTATAATCTTTGCTTTCAAGAAAAGCACTTCCTGCCCGGGCGGGCGTGGCTCAGCAGTTGAGTGTCGACCTAGGATCCAGGCGGTCGGGGTTCAATTCCTGGTCAGGTCACATGCCCATGTTGGGGGCTCGATCAATGACTCTCTCATCATTGATGTTTCTATCTCTCTCTCTCTCCCTCTCCCTCTCCTTTCCTCTCTCTGAAATCAATAAAGATATATTTTTTAAAAAAAAGGAAAAAAAAAAGCACTTCCTACCCCAAATTACAAAAATGATCTTCCACACTTCTTTTCAATATTTTCCCCAATTTTTTAATTTAAAATTTCCAATTTTAACCATTTTTTATATATTTTTTTGATTTCAGAGAGAGGAAGGGAGAGGGAGAAACCGATGAAACATCCATGGGCTGCGTCCTGCGCGCCCCCTGCTGGGGATCAAGCCTGCAACCCCCCCAACCCCCTCCCATTCGGACTGGTGACCTTCTGGTGCATGGGTTGACGCTCAACCCCTGGGCAATACCACCCGGGCTATTTTTCCAATTTTGTAATGGTTAGCACTTTGGTCCCTCTGTATTTGTTTTGTGTGTGGTGAGAGGTACTTGTGGGCACCTTTCCCCATAGACTTGCGACATTGTCTGCATCACAGCTTGTACATCGTTTTAGTCTCTAGTGCAAGGCTGGGGAGCATCCGGCCATGCGCCCGTGAAATCATTTGGTCCGGCCCTGCCAAAGCCTCACCAAAGAGAAGCAGCTTGTTCCAGATGAGTTAATTGTTTGACCAAATATAGCAGGCTAATTTTTAGGTTGATAATTTTATATGGCCCAAGAACGATGTTATAAATATCCAAATGGCCCTTGGCAGAAAAAGGGTTCCCCACCCCTGCTCTAGTGTAAGGAATGGTTCAGTTCTGGTCACCTAGCAGGTGTACCCACAGGCCACGAGGCTAAATCCCGCTCCACAGCTGACCCGAGCCTCTCGGAACACACTGCGACCCCGATGGAAAGACAGGGCTGCGGG